TAATTCAATCAGCGTACTTATTCTCCATCAGTATCATGGCAACGGTCCAGACGGTGCGTATAAGCGATTCTCTCCTATCACACCAAAACGTTGTGAATCCAAGATTCGATCGTAGCGGTTTTGGGCCATCACACTAGTCAGCGACCTTATGCGCCAGGGTCTAATTGAGGCGATTGGCTGGTGGTATTCGGAATGGGCTAGGTTTGGGAAGGAGGACGAGCGAGAAAGGGCTCTTAGCCAAGCTTTTGCAATTTAGACTGCGTGATTTTCACGATGCGATGACTTCCTTATGATTTAGGAGGTGAACATAAACCCTATTCGGTCGTTTCCTTCGGTCGTGAGCTTTTGGAGTTCAGTGGGTCGTGAGGTAGCGGAAGTTGAGGTGACCGTCGCGCTAGGTTCGGGTCATACTTTGCAGTTCGATGTGTAGCGTGTGTATCGATCATACGAGCGCATGATCGATACGGATCTACTCCACTCTCAAACGAGGCCGCAAGGTGTGATCCGACCCTTGAACGAGAAAATTTTGCAACCTCCTCTGTTAAAAGGCTTTACGATCGCCCACCATCACCAGCTTTCGAGGGGTCTCGCCATACAACTCCCCTCCGCGGCAAATGTTTTATGTTAGCAGATTCCATCTGTTCTTCGTGAAAATTGTGAAACCCTTTGGAACGGCTTCCGTCATTCCACTACAATATGACGCTTCAAGTTCTGCCATCACGACTACCTTTAAAACAACTACCTCAGATCGAATTGGTAGGGTTAAAAGTGGTCAACAATGAAATTGTGGATGCCGATTGACTGTTAGTGAAAAAAGCAAAATAAGCGCAATGACGCCTGTAAATAAGGACTGCCTCTGTTTAATCTCGAATTGAAGGAAGGGGCGAGCCGGACGAGCTGTCCGAGCAAGCCTGCTCCGCCGGCAGCTGCAATCGCATATGCACCAATACAAGGGACATGCACCAATATAAACAAAGAAATACGATAATCAAATCACCTAAGCAATTAAAACCAATCAAAAAACAGGCAGCATTCCTTCCAACGCGGCTACTGTTTGCACGCAATCGCGCAAGAAACGCAGCAAGTCACGCGACCGTGCAGGGACACACAACCAATCACGCGCTGTCCACGGCTAGCAAATGGGTGTGTCGTTAGCGGTTTTCCAGATGTTCTTGATTAGGGCTCATGCAGGTGCTAAGTGGGTTGGGGAGGGACCATGCAGCGGCGCGGCGCCCTGTTCGTCTGCTCCTCCAAAGCTTAATCCAAGGGGCAGTTACTATTTCGCACCACGTGGCAGTTTTTCATTTGGCTGAGCCAAAAATTCTATGTTGGTAGGTCTTCATTCGCAGCAAGGGTCGTCGGCGAGTTTTCAGCATCGAAGCGATACAGCCAACGACTCATGG